AAAATATATATATACAATATATCATGTAAAACATGATGCCTTGAAATGTGCAAATCTTGTAGAATGTCTAAATAAAGCTAATTAACATACACATTACCTCACACATATTTTTGTGGTGAGAACACTTAACATCCCACTTTCTTACTGTTTTCAAGAATTTTATTAACTCTTGTCTCCATGTTATACGACAGATGTCTTTTAAAATTCTTCCTCCTACCTAACTGAAAGTTTGAATTCTTTGACTCCCAACTCCATGAGGCCCTGATAACCACTATTATACTCCCTGTTTTTATAAACCCAACATTTGTAGATTCCACATGTAAGTGAGATTATGTGGTATTTGTCTTTCTGTGTTTGGCTTATTTTACTTAACATAATATTCTCCAGATTCATCCCTTCTCTTTCCTATACATCCTTACTGCCACTTCTTATATTCTGCCTTTCTGATAATAGTCATTCTAACAGGATGTGATTTTTAAATTAAAGTTGATTAAAATCATTGTGATTTTAATTAGCATTTCTCTGATGATTTGTAATGTTGAAATTTTTTCATATACCTGTTGGCCACTATTATGTCTTCTTTTGAGAAATGTCTATTCAGATACTTAGTACATTTTAAAATCAGGTAATTTCTTGCTATTGAGTTCTTTGTATATTTTGGATATTATCACAAGATGTATAATTTACAAAAATTTTCTCCTGTTGTACAAGTTATTTTTTACTTTGTTATTTTCCTGGCTGTGTAGCAGCTTTTTAGTTTAACACAGTCCCATTGTCTATATTTAGTTCTGTTGTTTGTGTGTCTGTGGTGATACCCAAAAAAATCATTGCCTAGAACAATGTTATAGAGTTTCCCACCATGCTTTCTTTTAGTAGCTTTGTAGTTTCAGGTTTTATATTTAATTTTTAATCCTTTTTGAGTTAATTTTTGTATATGGTATGAGATAAAGATCTAATTCATGTGAATATTCAGTTTTCCCAGCAAAATTTATGGAAGAGACTATTCTTTCCTCACTGTATGTTCTCAATATCTTTGTGAAAAACCATTGACTGAAAATGTTTTAATTTATTTCTGGGATCTCCATTATGATATATTATTCTATATATCTGTTTTCATGCCAATATCATGCTATTTTGATTACTACCACTTTGCAGTATATTTTGAAATCAGGTAGTGTGATGCTTCCACCTTTGTTTTTTTCTGCTCAAAATTTAGCTATTTGGTGTCTTATGCAGTTCCATATGAATTTTAAAACTGAATTTTGTATTTCCACGAAGAAGTCATTAATATTTTAGTAGGAATTGCATTGAACTCATTCATTATTTTGGGTAGTATAGACACTTACACAATATTAACTCTTCCAATTCATGAACATGGGATATCTTTCCATTTATTTGTGTCTTCAATTTCTTTATCATTTTCAGTGTATAGGTATTTCACTTTCTTAGTTAAATTGTCTTCTCTTTTTTGGCAGCTATTAAAATTGGGATTTTTAAAAAGATTTATTTATTTATTTGAAAGGCAGAGTTAGAGAGAGAGAGTGAGAGAGAATCTTCCATATGCTGGATAACTCCCCAAATAGCTGTAACTGCTGCAATTGGGCCAACCCAAAGCCAGGAGCCTAGAACTTCTTCCAGGTCTCCCATGTGGGGTCATGGCTCAAGCACTTGGGCCATCCTCCACTGCTTTTCCAGGAATATTACCATGGAGCTGCATCAGAAAGTAGGGCAGCCAGGACTCAATCAGTAACCACATGGGATGCCAGCATTGCAGGCAGCAGCTTTACTTGTTATGCCACAGTGCCTGCCCCTAAAATTGGGATTTTAAAATGATCTTTCTAATATGGCACTGGAATTGCTGTGTAAGTACTTTGTTGAGGAATTCTTTTGATGGTACTGACTACTTTATTTTTCATGTTTCTTACTGCCTTATGTTGATATCTGCATTTGAAGAATTAAGGACAATACCAGTCGGTACAGGCTGGCTTTGTCTGGCAAAATCCATCATTGGTCAGCCAATCCAGGGATTCTGGGTAACCTGTCTGTCATGGCCCACAGGAGAGCTTGCTGATGAAGTCCTTGAGAAGGATAGCCTGGTATCTGGATCAATGGTTGGTTAGGTCTGGTGTACAGGTCCATGGTGTTGGGCATGGATCCTGGATCCACTGGGTGCACCTGTTGATTGGGTCCAATGTGTTGGGCCTTGAGTCTGAGTCTAGGTAGGTGGGCCTGGAGTTTGTATTCATGGGAGCCAGCCTGATGTTTGGGTTCATGTGGCATGTCCTAGTGCTGGGTGGTCCCCTGAGCATCAGTCTGTAGGGTCCAGCCAAGTGCTGGAACAGGTGTGGTATCTAGGTCCTTTGGGACATACCTAGAATCTGATCCACAGAGACTAGCTTGGCACTGGAGTCTGAGGTCTGCTAGCATAGACCTGAATGCTGGTTCTACTGAAGCAAGTCTGGACCCTGAGTCCACTGGAGCCCATAGTATGATAAAGCTTGGAGTTGCAGGGGCTGGCCTGAAGTGTGGGCCACAGGAATCAGTATGACACTGGACAGGCCTGGAGTCCATGTCTGCAGAGGTCAGCCTCATGCCCAAGGCCAGGTATGCCAACCTGGTCCTAGGATGGGCCCAATGTCTTGGGCCATAGTGGATGGCTTGGTGCTGAATGGGCTTGCAGATTGTATCTACAGAGGTTTGCCTGGAGGCTGGATCTAGCAGTTCCAGGCTGAGGACTAAGACTGTGCAGTCTAACCGATTGCTAGAGCAGTCTTAAATCTTGGAGCTTTAGTGGCCATACTGGCACTGTGAGTATTCTGAAGCCTGAGCCTGCTTGGGCTTGTCTGACCTTGGGCTTGTCAAGACTGAAATTTGAGTCTGTGGGGGCCGGTCTGAAACTGGGGCAGGCCTGAAGATAGTGCTAATAAGGCATGCCTGGAGCCTGTGGCTGCAGGATACTTTCTGGTGCCAAGGCAATCTTAAATTCTCAGTTTGCAGATACCAGCCTGGAATCTGGGGCAACAAGGGCCTGACTAGTGCTGAATTTTATTGGAGTAGTTCCAGTGTTGGGTTCCAATATAAAGTTCGGTGCTCGCTTCTTCCCTCTTTTCCCCACTGAAGGGTATCTCTCTCCACTGTGCTTCCCGTAGTAGGGGGAGGGGCATAAAACTGCTCCTCCTACCCTCTTTAATGTATCTTCTTGTATCTGTACTATACCCAGGAGCTTTAATCTCTTTATCTGGCTTTGTTGGCTCTTATGAAGACATTCTTATTTATTTATTTATTTATTTTTTAATTTTTTGACAGGCAGAGTGGACAGTGAGAGAGAGAGAGACAGAGAGAAAGGTCTTCCTTTGCCGTTGGTTCACCCTCCAATGGCCACCAAGGCCGGTGCGCTGCGGCCGGCGCACCGCGCTGATCCGAAGGCAGGAGCCAGGTGCTTCTCCTGGTCTCCCATGGGGTGCAGGGGCCCAAGCACTTGGGCCATCCTCCACTGCACTCCTTGGCCACAGCAGAGAGCTGGCCTGGAAGAGGGGCAACCGGGACAGAATCCAGCGCCCTGACCGGGATTAGAACCCGGTGTGCCGGCACCGCAGGCGGAGGATTAGCCTATTGAGCCGCGGCGCCAGCCATGAAGACATTTTAATGCATGAACAGTTATTTAAATTTATGTTTCTGTTGAGGGATAAGTTCTGGAAAGATATATTTCCCATTTTGCAGATGTACTTCTGGTCCTCTTTATTGGTTCATGGAAGTTTTTTTTTTTTTTTTTAATTTTATTTGAGAGAGAGAGAAAGAGAGAATCTTCCATCTACAAATGCTGGCAACAGCTGTGGCTGGACCAGACCAAAGCCAGGTGTCTGGAACTCAATGTAGGTCTCCCAACATGAGTGGGAGGGCCCAATTACTTGGTCCATCAGCCACTGTCTCCTTGTGTGCGCATTATCAGGACATTGGAATTGATAATAGAGCTGGGACTCAAGCCCAGGCTTTTCTTTTCTTTTCTTTTTTAAAGATTTAATTATTTATTTGAAAGGCAGAGTTACAGAAGCAGAGAGAGAGAGCGAGAGAGAGAGAGGTCTTCCATCTGCTGGCTCACTCCCCAAATGGCTGCAACAGCTAGAGCTGGGCTGATCTGAAGCCAGGAGCCTGGAATTTCCTCCAGGTCTCCCACATGGGTACAGAGGCCCAAGGATTTGGGCCATCTTCCACTGCTTTCCCAGGCCATAACAGAGAGCTGGATCAGAAGTGGAGCAACTGGGACTTGAACAGGTGCCCATATGGGATGGTGGCACTGCAGGGGCAGCTTTACCAGCTATGCCACAGCGCTGGCCCAAAACCAATATGGGATGCGGGCATCCCAAGTTATGTCTTAACTGCTGTGTCAAATCTCTGCCCCTGTTGGCTTCTTTTAAAGGCAACCAGTTACTTCCTTGATGTGTAGTGGTTAAAGTGATCATTAACAAAAGGCCATGTTTCCTAAGGGGAGTCTAAACTGCTAACTAATAATCAGAAACACCTTTGAGAGTAGTTGTGAGTAATTGGCATGTTTGCACCAGTGATTCTCTACCTTGGTTTGAGAAAATTCAATTCATCAAACAAGTTTTGAGTGTACATTAAGTATGTGTAATGGATGCTATAGGAGATGTAAGGATAAGCATACCAAAGTCCCTGCCCTCAAGGAACTTAAATTCTTGGAAGGGAAATTGGACAAATTTATAAATGATTATAAATTATAAATGATTTATAGCTTCCATATATAATAAATTCATAAAAGGATACAGATAAAAATGCTAATGAGGCTTAGAATGAAGAGCGAAAACATTCACTTAGGAGAATTTAAGAAATTCTCTAAGTAAGAAAGGTTGAGATGGACCTTGAAAGATACTAGATAGGTTTTTGCTCATTTGAGATGTTAGAGAAGGCAATGGTGGAGTGTTAAAGAAATCCAATTATGAAATCACAACTCAAACTTTTTCTCATTCAACAAATTTTTGTAGGATTCCTACTACATTGAGGAAGATAGCAATGACTAAAAGAAATTCTACACCCAAGATTTCAGCCACTTTGAACTCAAATGTTTCTCGTTCTCATGGGGGCAAAGGAGAAAAGGAAATGAACAGAGTAACTATAACGTAATATGGTTAGTATTTTATAAAATTCCTTAAATTAGGTGATATATGTATTAGCTAGGGTTTTCCAGAGACAAATACTAATGGGGTGGAAATTCATTTTCCTAATAAGCCCTTCAGCTGACTGGATGAGGCCCATCCCTATGGTGGAGGATAATCTGCTTTATTCAGTCTACTGATTTCAATGTCAAAATTATTTAAATGTATATTCATAGAGATATCTAGAATTATGTTTGAGCACGTAGTAATAATGCTTACCCTAACCAAACTGGTACATAAAATTAACCACTATACTGTGCAAGAAAACACCAAATATTGGTAAGGATAAGGATGTGGAGCAACAGGGACTTTCACTCATTGTTGGTGGAGATTCAAGAGGGTATAGCCACTTTGGAAGATAATTCAGCAGGTTATTACAAAACTAAATGTATTCTTATCATACGATTCAGTAATTGTCTCCTTGGTATTTATCCAAATAAGTCAAAAATATATGTCTACACAAAAACCTGAAGGTGAATGTTCATAGCAGCTCATTCATAATTGCCAAAACCTGGGAAACACCAAAGAGTTCCTCCAGTAGGTGAGTGTATATGTGTCATGATGCATGTGTCTAAAACTGTAGATTTTACAGCAGCAATGTTCACCCTAATGTAAACTATGGACTTTTTTAAATCTCGGAGCTTTAGTGGCCATACTGGCACTGTGAGTATTCTGAAGCCTGGGCCTGTTTGGGCTTTTCTGACCTTGGGCTTGTCAAGGTTGATTATGATGTGTCAATGTAGATTCATCAGTTGTAACAGATGTATCAGCCTGGCGGGGAATGTTGAAAAAGGGGGTGGGTAACACATGTATGGGGACAGGGAGTATCTGGGAAATCCCTGTACCTTACTATTTTTTTTTCCAAAATAAACCTTTTATCTGAGGAATAAAGATCTCATAAGTACTTTAGGAATACAGTGATTCTTCCCACCATACCCACCTTCCTACTCCCACTCCCACCATCCTCCTCCCTGTCTCCTCCTCACTCTCTCATTCCCAGTCCCATTCTCTATTACTATTCATTTTCAATTAACTTTATACACAGAAGACCAACTCCATATTAATTAAAGATATCAACAATTTGCACACACACAAACAAGTTTTGCAGTTAACTCTCATAACTCTTGAGGACAGAGGTATTGCGTGGCAAGTTAGTGCACAGTGACTCCTGTTGTTAATTTAACAATTAAAGCTCTTATGTATAATGTCAGTGGCCACCTGAGGCTCTTGACATCAGCTGCCTAGGCTATGGAAACCTTTTGAATCCAAAAACTGTGTCAGTATTTAGACAAAAATATAAGCAAAGAGGAAGTTCCTTCCTAACTTTAGAGAAAAGTGCATCCTTCTTTGATGGCCACTTCTTTCTGCTGGGGTCTCAATCACAGAGATCCTTTGTGTAGAACATTTTTTACCACAGTGTCTTGGCTTTCCATGCCTGAAATGCTCTCACGGGCTTTTCAGCCAGACTAGGATGCTTAAAGGGCTGATTCTTTTTTTTTTTTTTTTTTTTGACAGATGGAGTTAGACAATGAGAGAAAGAGACAGAGAGAAAGGTCTTCCTTCCTTTGGTTCACTCCCCAAATGGCTGCTATGGCTGGAACTACGCCGGTCCCAAGCCAGGAGCCAGGAGCCTCCTCCCAGTCTCCCATGCGGGTGCAGAGGCCCAAGCACCTGGGCCATCCTTTCTGGGCCACAGCAGAGAGCTGGTGTGGAAGAGGAGCAGCCAGGACTAGAACCTGGAGTCCATATGGGATGCCAGCACCACAGGTGCAGGATTAACCAAGTGAGCCACGGTGCCAACCCAGGGCTGATTCTGAGGTCAGAGTGCTACTTAAAGCAACTGTCATTCCTTGAGTCTGTTGTGTGGACTGCTTCCCATGTTGGGACATTCTCTCCTTTTTTAATTCTATTATTATTATTAGACATTTGATCCTATTTATATGATCATTTTAACACTTAAGATGGCATTTTTACCACCTACCCTGCTTAATGGGATTTGGGGTCCCATGGCAAGTTTTTTAACTGCCATGGGCTGGTGCTGTGATGTAGTGGGTAAAGCTGCCTCCTGAAGTGCCTGCATCCCATATGGGTGCTGGTTCAAGACCTGGCTGCTCCACTTCCTATCCCGTTCTCTGCTATGGCCTGGGAACACAGTACAAGATGGCCCAAGTCCTTGGGCCCCCGCACCCACGTGGGAGACCCAGAAGAAGCTCTTGGCTCCTGCCTTCAGATGAGCACAGCTCTGGCTGTTGCGGCCATTTGGGGAGTGAACCAGTAGATGGAAGATCTCTCTCTCTCTCTCTCGCTCTCTTTCTCTGCCTCTACCTTTCTGTAACTCTGCCTTTCAAATAAATAAATAAATAAATCTTATATAAAACCCTGCACCCTTAGAAGTAAGTCTGTAGGAGTGCATGCAGAACTATACAGCTTTACAGTTACAAACTTCCTCCTCCCTCTCTTAATCCTGCTCTTATTTTTTACTGAGATCTATTTTCAACTGACTTTATACACATATTATTAACTCTCTGTAAGAAATGAGTTCAACAAATAGTATGAAGAAGAGAAAAAAATTGTTCCTTGATAGTCAAGACAAGAGCTATTCAAGTTATTGCTTCTCAAAGTATCAGTTTCACTTACAGATTTCCTTTTATGTATCTTACTCTTAAGGTTGCCATAAACCTTAAAATTCTCTAAAAAACAAAGTATTTGAAAAGAAAAAGAGAACACCATTTTCTTTTTGAATAAAAAGAACACACTTGTCTTTTTGAACAACTGTGAATTGAAGCATATATTTGCAAATCATCTACCTGGAAGAGGACTTGCATTGTAAGTAATTCTTAAAACTCAACAATAAAAACATAACCTTCCTCCTCTAAAAAATGTCAAAGAATTTGAATAGATATTTCTTCCAAGAAGATTCACAAATGGCAAATAAGCACATGAAAAAATGCTCAACATTATTAGTCAATATGGAAATACAAATATGTCCGCCCATTATGGTGGGTACAATCAGAAAGCAGACAGTAGCAACAAGGGAAGGTGTGGAGTATTTGGAATCCTCATGCATTGCTGATGGGAATACAAATGGTTAACTGTTTTGTAAAACTAGTTTGACAATTCTTCAATAATCTAAAGATTTCATATGATCCAGTAATTCCATTCCTAGGTATTTTAGTCCACTTTTGATACTACAATAAAAGACTTGAAACTGAATAATTCATAAAGAATAGGGATTTGTTTCTCAAGTTTTAGAGGCTAGGAAGTCCAAGATCAAAGCACCAGCAGGACTGCTTTCTGTTTGGAAGATGGCATCTTGCCGCCGCATCCTTGGAGGACAGGAATATTGGGACCTCACACGGCAGAAGGTTCTGAAGAGCAGGAGCATCTTTCTTCAATCTTGGACCCCTTCATAAGTGTGCTAATCCCATTCATAAGGGTGGATCACTGCTGACTTATTCACCTCTTAAAGGCCACACCTCTTAATACTGTTGCATTTGAGATTAAGTTTCAACAGGAATTCTGGAGGGGACACCAATATTCAAACCATGAGCACTATGTATATATATCTAACATAAATGAAAGCACACACTACACATTATATACAAATGTTTAATTGTAGAATTTTTCACAATAGCCCCAAAATAGAAACAGAATAGTGTCTATCACGGATGAGTAGATGAATAAAATGTGGCATATTCATACAATGGGATATTATTCAGCAATAGAAGGGAATAAAGCATTGACATGTGTTATAACACAGAAGGCCCTGAAAACAGGCTAAGCGAAGGGTGACAGATATAAGGCCACATATTGTATGACTCCATTTATGTGAAATGTCCAGAACTGGAAAATCTGCAGAGAAGGAAAGGAGATTAGGACTTTCCAGGGGCTGATGGAGAGGATGGGACAATGGAGAGTAACTGCTAACAGTCAGTTTTCATTTTTGAAAACTATTCTAAAATAGATTATGGTGTCAGAGGCACAATTCTATGAATATAATAAAAGTGATTAAATCATAGATTTTAAAGGTTGAATTTTATGATATGTTAATTATATCTCAATAAAACATTTTAAAATGAATCCAATGTCAATACAAATCCTTGCTTACTGACATGGAGTTGTGCCCTCTCCTAGTGCCACATCTTTTTTCTTCCCTCTATCCCAAATCTAGCTGTATTAAGGAGAAAGATGACCAGAGGAAGTCCTGAAGTCTCCCTTTCAAGGGGGACCAACACTCATATTCATTCAAGTTTGCTGGGAAACTTTGAAGAGGATGGAACTCCAATGGTTATGGATAGCTCTGCTGGATACAGATACTCAAGTCAACTATCCTACTACTACCTGTTTGGTCAGGAAAGAGGACTTCTGAACTCAGCTGATAAAATTTGGGCAAGGTTTCCAATAGAAAAAATAAATCTAGAGTGACAGTGTCATGTTGTGGTTTTCACTGCTGCATGAATATTGGTGTATATTTTACATGGTTGTGCTGTGAAAACTTATAACATCCAGAAAGGATTCTCCTGATTGGGAAAAATCACTTGTAGAGAAGTAGTGGGGTATCTAGTGGGATGATCGTATATAGGAGGACATGTAAATCACTCCCAACACACTTCTCTATTCTGTCTCAAGGGAACCCAGGAGAAGAAAGGGAAATCCAGCCTCAGTACTAAGTAAGTACTAATAAGCACTAAATCAGTACTACTAAGTACTAAAAGGTAGTATAGATAATTGAGACACAGTATTTCAATCTACCTCCCAGAATGCAACTGGAGACTTAGGGTAGATTATTCCCAACTGAATTCAGTTTTATCCCCGTAGCCTCCACTGTACCAAGATTATAACTATACCTAAATCCATTGCAAAGACTGATGCCACCCGTATGCTGTCTTGGACATTGTCAACACCTTGTCTATTGCTTTTTCCCCAAGAAAAAGGGTCAATACCAGTTCACATTCATGGCAAAGTGCATGTT